TTAATGCCTACTTAGGACTTGAAATTGCAACAGGAAATGTGTCCTATGAACGACATCGCGGACTACTGGTCTACTAGTCGCTTTCTCGGGCAGAATGCTTTTACTGACACTATGACAAGGACAAGATTCTAACAAATTCGTGGGTCATTGACACTTCACCCCCCCCCCCGCAAGACTCATCTTTTGACAAGGAGAAAGATCCACTGTGGCGCCGCCGGGGTGTTATGGAGCATTCCCAAAAGAGATTCGCTGAGTTCGCAGTTCCAGTTCGTGTGAACAGCCTGATGAGATGATTGTAGCAACTAAAGCAAGGACCCGGGCGAAAGCTAAAATTTCATCCAAGCCAGACAAGTATGGCGCTCGGTTTTACGCCGTCGTGGGGTGGGGTTTACTGTATGTGCACTCACTTTGTGATAGCTCGTCGGAACAATAAGACGCCTTCAACGCCTGTTGCGCGTTATACAGATTCATTTCCTACTCTACGCACCCCGCTCTCCAATATATAGGACGCCGATGATGTACCCATCGAAGCAGACTCAGCAACAGCTATGTGGATAGCCATGGCCGGGCATCAAACCAAAGCCATGCGCTTGCCAACTGAGCATAGGCTGGTGGTGTCAGATAACTTTACACAACACACACATTCGCTCATGCTCTGCTAAAGTATACTGACGGCGAGATGCATTTACTGGGAATGGTGAGATTAAATCTGGTGGACAAGTGGAACAAACCTGCAGTTAAAGCACCCATCGAGCGAGTGAATGCAAGTGAGCGTGGCAGTTGGGAATTGGTAGTCGCAGTGGGGATAAAGCCAGGTTGGAAGGAGAAGAAATTTGACTGGATCTGGTAGGAGTCCAAATGAACCCGTAACGGTAGCTAAAGGGTTAACAAGAACATAAGTTGTAGAGTTAACAATACCTCTAAGTACGTTGGCGGAAATCACACGTTATGCATTTCATTAGGTTTAACTATGCTAGATAGCTAAACATATACATTTACCCTTAGGCGGCTTGGCCACAATAAAAGTAAATAAAACACTTTGGATTTTGAAGCAGAATACAGTAGTTATTTCGAGCTAATAACTGGCTTTAGGTCTAAGCTAAAGATCCCTGGGATAAGGGACTTTGTATTAAAGACTCTTTGAGTCGAACGTCTTCCTCTGACGCTAAAGCTACGACAGTCCCGCTGCAAAAAGACTATACTGCATCTCGTTTGCATCATTCGGTAAGTGTAAGGTTGTGTGCTTTCACTGATTTTCTACACTACCAGAGTGCTTTATTATTAGATTAAAAGAAATGAAGCTTTATGCATCCGATAAAAGCACATTCTAGCGCGTAAGGCGCCAATGAAAATCATAAGAGGCCGATCTTGTAGACCCCAAACTGTTTGCTGTTGATGCAGTTTCTATTCCTTTCGAAGCTGCTATTTAATTGAGTAGTTCGTTGTTGCATTCGTGCTGATGATATCTAAAACACTACAATACTAACGTGTCTGTCTGTCGGTGACTCCGTCCGTGCACAAATACGCACCTCTCACTGGACAAAATGCTGCCGAGCAAAACGAAGGCGGCCCTGGTCACTGGCTGATATTGAGTCAAATCTTAGGATAAATACTACTGAATACTACTACCGCCCGGTAATTGGCTACTATATTTGCGCTTCTTTCTTTCCGCCCCATTCGAAGAGCGGAGCGGCGGCGACAGACAACGGACGAAAGGCGCGTGCGATTGCGGGACGAGCGCCGAACGAGAGCCCGAGGCAACGTATGTCGTGGTTTGTAAGTATGGAAGTTCGTCCAAAGATAGAGCTAATACGTGCCTTCTAATGGCTACCGAGCGCAGCGAAGGCAGTCGTAACTGGCTACAACTGACATTTTGTGGTGCTCACATTAAAAAAATTATGTGTCGACATTGGTATCGTACTTCAATGCACCGCTTAAAATTCATTTTGCCCCCGTTTTCAGCCGCGGAGCGCCACTTCACGCAAAGGGCGCTGCCTGTGTGCGCGTTAGTTAGTATTAGTAGGCCGCGCCGGTCAGCACGCACGCAATGTATGGTAACACAAGCTGTTAATAGAAATAGTAGGCCCTGGTGGCCCATATTGAGTCTTGAATAGTCCTCTTAGTACTGTTGTTAAAAAATATGAGGTTTTAAGCTTCGTAGTAGTTGTATAATAGTTTTTTTATAAGATTGTTTTGCTTTATACAATTACATTTCCTTAAAATATTTGCTTGCAGTCTTTTGTAGTACTATTACACATGATTGTGTTAGATAAAGTTACACAACTTTACTACTAATACTAATTACTTAAGGTTTATAGTGGCCTCCCACCCTTCACCCCAACTCCACCGCCGCGAAAAAAATATCGTCTTCCTTTATATTTGCGCGCGTAGTGTGCGACCTTTAGAAATATGCTTTTTTTCAACACGAATAGTAGCGTATGTTCAAGGTACTGGAGCAGTGTTTGTGATTACATTAGCGCGGAGGCACGTGATTAACCAAGAACACGAAACACGGAGGAACACCATGTACATGATGGAATAGAAGAAACAGCACAAAGCACGAAAGGCCACGGACAATGAAAGAGGACTAAATCAATGAAGGCACCTAACGATTCTGAAAAGCACGAGCCACGGAAGAGCGCGCAACCCTGAAAAATGGGGGGGAAAAGAGTATTACGGGGGCGTACGGACTACGGAAGAAAGCTGAAATATTGAACCCCACATAGAGCACGTAGCTGTGACAACGCTCGGAAAAGGATTATTCCGTTACACCACGGGGGAGCACGGAGCACGGTCGACGGACCAAGCATGATTTTGCAGAAGACCACAAACGGGAGATTCCCGAGCATTAAAATACGATACCAGGGTAGAACTGGAGCTCACCGAGCCATGGAGAGCGATACTACGGTAGTCTACGATGGAACGGACGACAGACCAACCTCGACACCACAAGATAACACGATAGTATGAGCGGTGACCCAGCTAATAAATCATGAGAGAGCGCGCAGCCACGGGAACTATAAACGGGAAATCACTCAGCCACGGAGCACGATACCAGTGAAGAACTGAGCTCACCGAGCCACGGAGGACGATATTACCGTAGCATATGATAGCACGGACCCACGGGAAAACGCTTCAGGAGAGCACGAGGCTGTCGCTGAATCCACACTAGGAACGCACAATACACGGGCGACAGATCAGCATAGCTACGGAAAAGCACCCATCGGCGAGGGTACCGATGATGGGACACCATGGACCATGAATGATTATGGACCACAAACCTGTGGAGCTCACGTAAGGGAGCACGAAATAGCTAGCAGCTACGAAAGAGAGGGGGGGTACGAGCGAGCATGAAACCAAAGCGATAACGCTTAGCCACTAAGCGGTGTGAGCTACGGGTGAGCTTGAAACCACGAAGCCAGAAAAGACACGGAAGAGCACGGGCCACGAAAGAACACGGCATCCAATCAGTAGTACGGAGCATCGGTACCTTACCAAACCACGGTATCTTATACCGCCACATGAGACTACGGATAGGTAAGCGCTTTATGTCACGAAACTACGTCGTATTGAGGTGGCTGAAGCCATAAGGTACAAGATCCTAAGCGAAGTCACGCTGCACCATCAAGTATTTAAAATTCCGGACACCTCACATCCAGCAAATCATGCAACTTCCGCCGCAAAGCGGCGGCGAATGGATTCAAGGTGCTGATCGAATACCCCGAAGTTGAGGAGAAGGACGGAGTTTGCAATAAAACCTTAGTGTACAGATAGATCTTTGAGCGTAGGTAGAAATAATTGCTTCACCGTTTTCCACGCTGTTTCGCTAAGAAACGAAGAAAAACCTCGACTTGCCGGAGCGAAGCGGAGGCCAGCGGCCTTCATGGGTGATAATGTGGTTTCACTCTAAATACAACACGCTTTTACAGTGACATTTCTTCTTTTAATTTTTTTGTGATGAATAAAACACAAACATCAGCCCGCCACAGCGAAGCGGAGGCGGGCGGCTTTCACACCTGGGGCCCACCACTGACCCACCGACGCGAAGCGGCGGCGCTCGGCTAGTCTTGCACGTATTATATTCATGCTTCTCTTACGATAGCAGCCTACAGAAAATCTTAATTATACATGTACAAAGATTTTCTGTAAAGGGAGATATTATCTTCCTTTACAAATTGCAAGTCTAAACAATTTTATATACATTACCAGCAACATAAGATACCCGTCGTAGGACCAAGTCGACCTTTATTCGTACCAAAAGGGTTATTGTGGTTTTCAGCCTTTTTGCCGCCCGTTGTAGCTACGCATCTCTGAGGGGGTCCGATTTGTAAAACTGACCTCTTATAGGGATAGGTTGAATTATTTCGGAGGGCCAACTGAGTGACGTCCTCACTGGCCACAAAGACAGCAAAGCAGCAGAGCAGTCAGCGAGGTAACCAGGGGCGCACGCCGTAGGTAAGCTATAAGCGCATTACTTGGCGGGAAATGCACATTCATAACTACACCTAGCCTGTACAGAATGCTGGATAAGACGAAGGCCAGAGAAGACCCGAGGAGACCACGGACATCGAGGGTTGGTAGCCGCAGGAGAAGGAAATACGCGTCAAGCTGCTTGGGACGTCGTGCTCACGAGGCCTGCACGCTAACGCACAGGTACGGTCTCTTTACTGCTTTTGATCAATGCTAACTGACTGACTTCGTACTGCTCATAACAGCGCACAGAATGCGAAGGAAGTATATCAATCTTGTCGGTAAATTTACAGGTAAGTTGCAGTTGCATTGTTAGTCGTCGGCTATTGAGTAGCAGGCTTGAAGGGTCGATGTGCTAATTATGGTCCTGGTCTAATGCCTAGATAAGAAGCGAAGGCCCTCATACACTACGGACATCATATTGGTCTGCAATAAAGCCTTATACTGAGGACGAGCAAGCACTGCAATAATTTGTATGGACAACTTGAATTCGTATCGCCTAGCAGGTGAACATTTAGAGTTTTGCTGCCATGTCGACTAGCGGTTTCGATGGATCGAGCGACAGCAGTATCGTGCCTGGTGCCGGTGCGTCTACGGGGGCTTCGTCGTCCTCCGCTCCATGGGCAGTCGATGCTCTCGGGCCGTCCGATGTTGGCCCTCCGCCGTTGCCAAGTCGAGCTGATGCAATACTGACTATACGAGTGGGAGAACCGCTTGGTCGCGCTCGTGGTGGCTGGAAGAGTGATGTCAATTTCGAAGTTTCTGAAGGCTATGCTGTTTTTAAGCAGAAGTGTATTGCAAAATATACTGCGCTCGTGGCGTCTCCTGAAGTATAAAAAAGCCTCTCGTACTACCAGACGACTCATCCGTTTACTTGCGGCGTGCGAGGAACGATACTCAAGCCAAGTATATCGAGCTGACGTCTGATAAATTTTTGACAGCACTTCAATACCGATGGAAACTACTCACAACCGATGATCTCCGCCACATTGGAGACTTTCGCTCTGAGGCGTTCCTCTACGTCAAGCGGGCAGCTCAACCAGAACAATTTCACCGTGCTACCGCGCGTCGCATTGCCAATGCTCGAGTACAAAGGATAGCTTTCAAGACAGCCAATGCAGTGCAGTTTGAAGCAATCACTTCGCACCATCTTGATGTTGTGCATGCAAGAAGACCGGAGTCGGCTCCATTTGAAGCTCCTGAGGATAACACAACTGCACAAGCAATAGAATTAGGCCGACAGCAAGAGGCTCTGCAGCAGCAGGAAGCCGATAAACAGGCCATACCGGATACAGCAATTGTGAGCGTTAGGGTCAATGGTTTATGGATGCCTCTGGAGGTCGACATTCTGTCACTTCGGCGTGCATTACGACTGCCAGGCCACGATATATTCTCTCGCGGTATCTACCATGAATTCACACCCACTCAGCCAACCAATGGAATGATGAGCGACGAGGACCATGCCGATGACGAGTCCATGAACTAGAAGAAAACGCGAGCTTAGTGCAGTACGAGATGCATGTATCAAATAATATTCATCATTACAAAATTAAGCTACTCATCGTCTGTACTTCTTCGAATTAGATCGTCAAAAACTTGGTCTCCACGTGCTATCAAACGCAGCAGGCCCGCCGTAGCTTTAGCGCCAGAGGAAGACGTTCGACTTAAAGAGTCACTAATACTAAGTTCCTTATCCAAAGGACACTTACAGCCCAAGACCAGGGCTCAAAGTTAGTACCTTAACTTTTATGCTTCAAAACTAGAAGTGCTTTATTTACTATTATTGCGGAAAAGCTGCCTAGGGATAAATATATCTGTTTAGCTATTTAGCATAGTGTCTTTTCCAGTAGCCATGTAGCCACAGTGACGAAAAGTGCCAAAGCAACCTTTATCTTCGAGACGCGTACACGCTCGCATTGCAATATCCAGAACCTGATCTGGATACAATGGAAAAACAAGATTAGCACGCCTTTGAAGCCAACGTTTTAGAAGGCCAAAGAACGGCTCTATCGGGTTGAGCTGTGGACAATAGGGCGGTACAAATATTAGTCTAGCTTCACACTGGTGTATGGCTTCTTGGATTTCTGGGTAGGCATGGATTTTGGCGTTATCCATCACAACAATGGAGCGAGGAAGAGGCCACGGGTTCAAAGTTGGAATATTATGCTCCACAAACGCCTCGTGGAACTTTTCTTGCGTGAATGTTCCTTCAGTCCACTTCCATGCAAAAACTCCTTGCACATCAAGCGCGGCTAGAATTGATAGTCGCGTTTCTCTTCGGAACGGCATTTTTCGTAATTGCTTGGGTATTTCGTTTCGACCACCCATAGCGTCGCTGAGAATGGCATCCGTCCTTAGCAGTCTCGTCCAAAAATACGAGCTGCTCTGCAAAAGAGAAAAGTGGAAGAAGCTTGGCGCGGTAGGCTTCAATTTCCGCAGGGACGGCTTCTCGTGCGGCCTTGGACAGCACTGTTCGGCTGAGCTTGAGATCAAAATTGAGTACGCGACAAATTGTCGCTGTCGAGACTGTAGTTATTGCTGGAAAATTCTTGACAATGTGCTCACGTAGCTCTTCGATGAAAAACGTGGGGTGATCTTGTACGTAAGCTTCGACAGCGGCAAGTACGTCAGGTGGCCAGCGTGTGCAGGTCTGACGAGGCTGCTTTTCATTGACAATGCCTTTCTGGAGGAACAGCGCGTACCATCGGCGAAGGGTGCGCTGCTGAGGACCGAATAGATCAGATACGTATACAGTTGGCACGTCGTAGACATGCATCAGTGCCACCGCACGCCATCGAAAGTCATCGCCGTAGGTCATAAAGGAACTTGCAATTATCAAACGTGTCTTTTGGCAGCTGTAAGAATTGCAATGCCAGGGGAGGGCTGAGGCTGAGGATGAAGCTGCAAGGCGCTCACTTATACCGTTTTGAAACGGCAAAATGGAGACTTCTCTACAAAACTGGCCTGAAATCGTTCTCTTCACCTATTCGCCTAACACATTTCGCACCATCGTGCTTGCCATATCGGAGCTGCTCGCTATTTCGGACCCCTTATCTCGGGATAAGAGACCTCCGGTTTGCCAAAATGGATGAAAACCACAATAATCTACCGTGTCTATATTTGTGTTTGGTACTGTACTTAAAGTAGCGCTATAGGACATTTTCGGGAGTCCCTCAATATTATTGAGTCAATAATAATGGTACTCTAATCAGTACCAAGATTAAAGCAAAGAGCAGCTTACCCCCAACCACTCTACCGAAAAAGTTACATGTTGTTTTTCAAGTCCGTTTCGCCAGTACATGTACCGGTATTCATGTCACAACCGCAATCGTTGGACATAAAATGTTCGACTTAAATTGCTGTAATTTAGCCCATTTGCAGGCATCCTATATCATAGCTGTGTGAAGAATTGCTCTGTCTGTTGGATATGGATCACATGTCAAATCCTACGCGCTCGTAGAGTCCTGTCAATGCCCCACGTTCAGTTAATCCGTCTTCATCAATTGACCACGCCACGAAGCTCGTCTTACCTGCTCATTCGACACAGCGCCATCGCCAGCTTCTGGGGCAGCAGAGTCTCCCGTAGTCGGGCTCTGCAACTCGGTCGGCGCTTCTTGTGTCTCGATCCACGCCATCTGCAGCTGTTTGTCGCCGAACACGTTGCCGTGGTTCAGCGCGGCCTGGCCTGCGTACCGGTCCTGGAACTTAATGAAGCCTTGGCCAGGAGCTGTCTCGTCCATCACAACGCGCTCCACAGCACCAAAGTTGCCAAAATGCTGCGTCAACACGACAGGATCGCAGGCCTCCTCCGGTAGATTCGCCACCTTCACGATCGTGGTTCGGTTGTCCAAAGTGTGGGAGCCACGGCCGAATCCTCCACGACCCCGGCCACCCCGGCCTCCTCTGTAGCCACCACGACCTGCAGACCACCGGCCACCGCGTCCTCCTCGGCCACCGGCTTCGGCCTCAAGCGCACTCAGTTCCGCCTTCAAACCGCTAAGATTCTCGCCACCTTCAACTGTTTCTGACCGCGATGCGGCACTGGGGGAGACAGCCGAGTTACGCGGAGTTAAGGCCTTCAACTCTGCCGACAGCGCTGTGATCTTGTTCAGCAAGTCGCGCTTCTCCGCTATGGAGAACTGCGCGCTGTTCGCACTCATTCGTTCCAGCAGTTCCTTCTGTTGAGCCAGTTGTCGCTTGATCAGCGCCTCCTTCTGCTTCTTCAACGCGCGCTGCTTCTCGAGCAACTCGCGCTTCTGCTCCAGCACCTTTCGCCCCTTCTCTAATGCTGCTGCTCGCAGCTCCTCGGCCGTCATGTTGTTCTCAGGTAGAGACTCGGCCGACTCTCCTTCTGCCTCTGCATTCTTTTCTGCAGTCTCGCCGCCGGTGGGAGCTCCGTCCTCTCCAGTTGCTTCGTTCGACGCGTTTTCGGGCTGATCAACTGCTTCCTCGGGGCTTTGGGCGTCGTGTCTGGCCCATTTTACAGAGATAAACCGGTTGTTGCAGACCGGGAGAGGCGAGTGGAAGGCCTTCTTGGCCTCCTCCTCCGTCGCATACTGAACAAAAGCACATTTCGCACTGGGTCGCATCTGCACGTTCACCACGTTGCCAAACTTGGAGAAGTGCAGACTTAGCATCGTCATGTTGACATACTTGGGGTCCACATGTCTAACGTGCAGCGTAGTCTTAGCCGTGGGGGTCTCGCCGTTCTCTCCGTCCTTGCCGCCTCGTCCTGCATAGAAACTACCGCGTCCTCCCCGGCCTCCGCGTCCGCCAGGAGGAAAGTACTGGCCCCGTCCACCCATCAGATGTGGCATCATCATGTGCGGGGGAGGCATCATCCCTCCATTCTCCGACATGTACATATTCGGGTCAAAGTCAGGAGGGTAGCCAGCCCCACGGGGGGGCGGGAAGTGTGGCGGCCACATGCCCTGAGGTGGCATCCCCCACTCTGGAGGGAAATTCCGACGACGATCGCCTCCCATCCCGTACGGCCCGCGTTCACCCATGGGACCTCCTCGCATCCCTCCGTCCCGTGGAGGATACACCTGTCGTCTGGAGTCTCTCCTGGGACTTCCCTGATGCCGCTTGTTGTCTCCGTCCCTAGAGCGATCGTCGTCGCGACGCCGTTTGTTAAACCGCCGCTGCTCATCCTCGTCGTCCGAGTAGCTGCGTTCACGCCGTCGACTGAAGTCGTCTTCGTAGCCATTAGAGCCTCTGGACTGCTCATCACTGGTGGCGTTACTCGAGTTGTTGGCTTTGTAGGAGCCATCTGCAAGCGCCGTGAACAATTTGGCCACAAACCCCGCCGTCTCTGCAAAAAAGAAAAATCATTTTAAAGGCAAAAATTAGCAAAAAAAAAGATTCTACGGCAAATTTGATCTCCGCAGATAAACGCACCGTCACCGAGAAATTCCTCGAGCTTGGAGACACATATATCCTGTAACCCAGGCTTTTGCGGATCGTTCTGCACCAGCGCCAGTACATATTTGCTCAGCACCTCCGGGTCGGCGTCGCATCTGTGTCAGCCCAAACTAATTAGATACAAGAGCCCCCCTCTGTCAAAAACAACAGGACACAGCCACGCACACTGGCTCGAGGCTGCGGATGAGCCATTCGCGCAGGAATTCCTTGTCGTCGCCGTCCATATCTGCTGACTGACTGGATGAATCGAGGGCCTCGCCGCTGGGGAATAACTGCCACCTTCACTTGCTAGAGAAGTCCGGCCAACCAATAAAGAGAGGACTGGAGATTCAGTTGCTATTTGTATCGAGCCCGCCTAACCCGCGGGTCGCTGCTATCAATTCGACACAAGCTGGTGTTTTGCACACCATATTCAGATCTGCAGTAATGGGAGCAGCGAGTTCGCGTGAAAATGAGGCGGCGGCGACCGAGTTCGTGGACCGCGTGACGACGGAGAACGGCGTGACAGTCTTCAGCAAGAGTTACTGTCCGTACTGCAATCTGGTGCGGCAGCTACTGTAGAACTATTATAGAATCAGCTTAAAGCGTTGTCACCCATCTCCTGGTTTATTTCGGTAGGCCAAGGGCGTTCTAGACGAAGCCGGTGTCAAGTATCACGTGGTGGAGCTGGACCTGAAGAACGACGTACCAACTGGGGCTGAGATCCAAAGCGCACTGGCTACTGCAACTGGTAGGCAGCAAAAAAAATACGACTTCATCGTGACACTCACAAGTTTTTTGCTAATCTGTGCTTGTTGCAGGACGACGCACCGTTCCCAACGTCTTCATTAAGAAGGAGTCTATTGGTGGTGGGACCGACGTGCAGGCGCTGTTTCAGTCGGGCAAACTCACGGAAATGCTGCGTATGGCCGGAGTACTGTGATCGGGCATTAAGCCAACTGGACAGCATTTTTCTTGTTGTAAATTGACGATGATCGTTTATTTCATGTCAACCTTTGGTTGGCAACTAAGGTATCGAAGGCCTCATTGCACGTACTTGGTTAAAGCTTTGTTGACGGATTGTCCCAAGTAGTGCTGTGATCAACTTTGTACTGTTGGTGTTGTTAGGAAATCCTACGAAGTGACAAAGAACTATTACATTTTGTTATCCAACTGCTGCTGAGGTAAAATATTGGCCATTTTACAGTTGCTCTTATCCGCACGTGATACCATAATACTTGTACTAGTAGTAGTAGAGAACTTTAGCTCCTGGAATAACTCAGGCTTTGGAATAAGAATTTTCTTCGTCCAGAAATATATTCCAGTGGAATAGCGAAGGGTCCGCTGGAATAAAATATTGGAATTATCTATCGGTAATCTATCGGTCATTTATTCAGATTTTATCCAGATAATCGCTATTCCAAGTCTTGCGTGTTCTCTAGTGTCATAATCCATGACTCATGAAAGGCAAGCTGGATCGTTTAGAGCAAGCAGGCCTCCCTACAGTATCATCTGCGTTTTACCAGCTACCGATACTACATCTCTCGCCAATTGTCCATACGTGCACGTATATGTGCATGTATTAGAGAACTAGTTTCTGATATAACGGGTACTACACCTTTGCCCGTCCAAACTGAGATTAGTTTCAAGCAAAGCGGACAATTTGTTTCGTGAAATATGAATATCAAGTTAAACAAAAATAATCAGCAAATAAAGCGAGAATAATTTCATCCAAAACAAGACAAGGAAAGACGGCAGCCGTAGTATGGGTGGTGAAGACGTCTTGGCGCCAAAATGCGCGCGAAAGCCCGCGCACGAGGCTGAAGTAGCTCACTTCTCAATTCACCTGTTTGAGCGCAGATGCCCTCCCAACCCCTCCTCCAAAAGCACACACCCGCCGAGAAGCTTCGCGTTCTTTCCGCACATCGTGCAGGACGCGCTGACTGGCTTCAGGTGGCCGAGTACAACGGCATTTCGCGAGCAGTGGCCTACCGCATTGTCGCCTCAGGACGCGTGGAGGATCTGCCACGCGGCGGTGCTCGGGGTAGCGTCGTCAAGATCGCAGAAGAGGCCAGGAACAAGCTCAAAGAGTACCTCAACGATAATTGCACATTTACGTTAGAAGCTATGCGTACGATGCTCTTTATGGACACAGGCATTGAAGTCTCCACCTCAACGATCAGCCGCCACTTGCTGGGCATGTTGTACACGGTAAAACAGACACGCATCGAGCCCATGACGTGCAACAATGACATCAACAAGACCAAACGCTCCAAGTTCGCGACAGCTCTCAAGGACCATCAAAAAGACGGTGACTGTATTATCTACTTAGATGAGACTAACTACAATGTGTATTGTAAGCGTGGTCGGGGATGCGCGCGTAAAGGAGAACGAGCTATACTGGTGATGCCACCGTCAAAAGGGGCCAACTTGCAAGTCCAGTGCGCGGTCAACTAAGCTATGGGTGTTGTACTCCATCGGCTGGAGAGGGGGAGTATTCGTATTGCCCAAAATACTGCCTTTATCGACGAGGTCTACCGTACAGTAAAGGCGTCTCCTGTCTTTCAAAGCAACTTTGCCGGTAAGAAGGTTGTTATCGTCCTGGATAACGCTCCTGCACATCGCCAAACAGAAGAGCGGGTGGAAGAGCACGTCGACCTGAAGCTACTACGCCTCGGCCCCTACTCTCCGATGTGCAACCCCATCGAGGGCTGTTTCTCCGTCCTAAAAGCACGGATCAAGGCGTATCTTGCTTTGTATCGCGAGGAGATTTGTGATCGAAGCAACATGGCGGATGATGACGGCAACCTTTTGACAATTAAGGAGCGTACCATGCGCTTCTTGGAGAAGGCGGCTGAAGCGAGTATCAAGTGCATCACCCCCACGTTGGTGGCGAATATGGAGTTGCACTGTCGAGATGCGGTGAATGCGGCGGAGAAGATGAACGACATGGTCTACGGTATCTAGGTCAGTACAGTAGATCGTCTCTTTTTGAATGAGAACAATCTCGGATTCATTGGTGCTTTTAATCACGAAAGAAGAAAATTGCAATTAATAAAAACATGTTGTCCACTTTGTTTGAGATTATTCTCAGTTTGGACGGGCAACGGTGTAGTATACCTGAATAAATGACGAGTAGATTACCGACCGATATTCCAAAACTTTATTCTAGTGGAAAAGAGAAGGGTTGCGTTATTCCACTGGAATAAAGTAAAGGAATATCGATCGGTAATCTATCCGTCATTTATTCGGATTTTAATCCAGATACTCGTTATTCCAAGCCTTGCTATAGAAACTAAAGCTCTTTATCAGTGACTAATTTAATGGTCCACCAAATTAAAATAGTCCTGGCTTTTCAAACTTCAAAAACTACATGTAAGAATCAGAAAACCGGTAAATTTCTGTCAAATACCGATGACGTCGCCTGCGTCATAAATCCAATTCTTACTGTAGTACAAAAGTCGAGTCAACTGCCCATCTCCCTCAAACATAAAATACCGATCCATTTTTACTAGCTTAAATTCATCTCAGCACTGCTCTGATACGACAAATTGGTCAGCTAACGTAGGTGATCAAAAATTCTCCACTATTGCCACAATGAGCAAGCGCTTTGACGTTATCGTGTACGGCGCCACAGGCTTCACGGGGTCGCTGGTGGCCCGCTACCTGGCGGCGGAGTCTGAGTCCGCACTAAGCAGCCCGTCGGCCTTGAAGTGGGCTGTGGCCGCTCGTAGCGAGGCCAAACTGACGCAGATGAAAGAGCAACTCAAGGATAGGCTGCCCGAGGTCGCGCCTGAGCTGATCGATGCGATCCCCGTGGTCGTGGCCGACAGCGGCAGCGAAGAGTCACTGGCGATGATGGTGCAGCAGACTAATGTGGTGGTGTCCCTGGTGGGGCCCTACAAGCTCTACGGTGAATTGCTGGTCAAGGTTTGTGCTGAGAACGGCGTGCACTACTGCGACCTAACGGGGGAGATCGTGTGGATCGAGGAGATGACGGCCAAGTACGCGGCCATTGCAGCCAAGACGGGAGCGGTACTGGTCAATTGCTGCGGATTTGAGAGCATCCCGTCAGACGTCACCACGTTCCTCGTGGCCGATCGCATCCAGAAGAAATTCAACTCGGCCACGAGCACAGTCGACCTTTACTTCACGGAGTTTAAGGGGGAGGCGAGTGGTGGTACTTTGGCTTCAGTCTTTGCCGTTATGGAGACGTCGACGAGCAAGCAACTGCTGGCGTCGCGCAACCCGTTCTTCCTGACGGACGAGAAGACGATCGCTGAGAAGCAGCAGGCCGGACTGGTGGCGCCCAATACGAGCGGTATAGCAATCAAATACGACACGGCCATGGGTTTCTGGCACTCGCTGTTTATCGGTGGTTCAGTGAATCAAGCTGTGGTGCACCGCAGCAACTACCGGTTGAAGAACAAATACGGCGACAAATTCGTGTACCACGAGCGCATGGCCATCGGCGGTTTGTTCATGCAGCTGCTGGCTACGTTTGGAACGATCGTAGTGAGCATTATGCTCTACTTTGGCTGGACACGTGCACTGCTTAAGCGGCTAGCGCGTGCTCCTGGTCAAGGTCCGTCGGAGGAGTCCATGCTTCAAGGCTACTTTGTCGCTGAAGCTGCAGGATACACGGACGACGGCAAGCTAGCGGTGAAGGCCAAGACAGTGGGTTCAGGCGACCCTGGCTACCGTCTCACGTCGCGTCTGATCTCCGAGTGCGCGTTCTGCTTGGCCAAGGATGAATTCGGCGACGCCAAGAGTCTCAAGGGCGGCTTCTACACACCGGCCAGCGCGTTTGGCCACAAGTTGGCTGATCGTCTGCAGACCAAGAAGTTCATCACGTTCGAGCTCAAAGACATGGCGTAAGGAAGCAGCTATCATAGCAAGTAAGTAGTAAGTAGCTAAGTGACCGATCGTGGAAAAAAGGATCCAAGTTGAAGAGACGTATGCCAATCAAACGGTGGATCTTTGCGTTGTGCGCATTCACCTTCGAGCAGTCTGTACCTCAATTCTAATGGGTAACGCAACCGGACGAGACCTAAGCCAGGCCGAGCGAGGCCGGCGTCCCAACGATAAGGAAATGCTCGTGCTGCTCAAGATGCAGCGAGCGTTGTTCCGCCGGCTCGTGGCGTCTCCAGAGGTGCGTCAAACGATCGGCCAGCGATGGCCCAGCCTACTAACTATTGCTACGATCGTATCATTCAGCACCTCCAATTACTACAGCGATATTGGACCGCGAGCTTCCGTCGTAAGCATCAGATGCCGGGCTTCGTGCTGGTGAGCGACCTGTGGAAGGAGGCCGGATTCTCGGACCCCAATCCAGCCGCTGACCTGAATCCCATGGGAGAGCTTGGACTACAGTGTCTCGTGTTCTTCGTCGAGACGTATCCAGCCGAGACGGCCATGATGCGTCGAGGTCGCGGCGGATATCCGTTTGCGAAGGCAGCGGTAGCCATCGTGCGGTCTTTGAGTTTGACGATGCATCTGATGGACACAACAGGGAATCCGGGCCCGTTTCCTGTGACAGAGGCACTGTTCTGGCAGCTCTTCGAGCGAGACGACGGCTTCTTCCAGCTCTTCTCGCTTGCCTTTGTGGCGTTCGAAGAGCTATTCTGTGAGGAAGTAGCAGCCAATCTGTGGATGCGAGATGTGGACGCGTGCTCCATGACGGTTGTGGACAAACTGGTGGCCGCGGTGGAGCGCAAGTTGACGAACGAGCTAAAGAAGGCCCCGCTGAAGCTGTCGGATCTTCGACATGTCTGCACCAATGCCCGGTACATCGTCGACAAGGCAGACGAGAATGCTAGAGCTGCTCTTGGAAGATCGTCTTCAGGTAGCGAGTCGAGCTCTGTCTCACGTTGGTCTCAGCACCACACCCCTGGACGGAAGAGTATGCGAGAGGTAGGCAAGGCATGGGGCAAGGAGAAGAAAGAGGATGCACCGCGAAACAAAGGTTATCGCCTGAAGCCTCGAATGCCAGAGATCGAGCGACCCCGCAGTGGAAGCTTGCAGACGAGTGGAGCGACCAGCGACGCCGAGGTCCCGTCACCGCCGCTGACAGACCGTAAAAATGTAGAGGTGGAGGACGACGGCGCGCAAAACCAAGCGGCGTCCGAGCCCACCGAAGACCTTTTTGCGGGGCTTGTCACCAAGGCAACGGGGTCCGACGACTCCAAGAGCAGCGAGAGCGCAGCGGCCAGAAGCTGCTAGACGTGAGCCAGGGTGTTTACGGCACGGAGTCATCGCAAAAGATGACGACAATCGAGAATCGAGGAAAGTCAGCTGTTGCACTTGTAATCACGCCTCCAAAAGTGAAAGCATCACCCCGTAATCAAACTAAAAAAATCCATCCAACGTTTTGCAATCGCCAAACCTCGCTCACACAGCTTACCATTTCTTAATTTGCTACATGTACCGGTATTCCATGAGTGTGGACCTGTTTGCCGACTTCATGCACGGCTCGCCGATGGTCAAAGCGCCCACGAGCGACAGCTCGCTTTGGGTTCGACTAGCGCGAATGGCTCACGACAATTCCGGTACATGTATCGGCATGATGATGCTACCATCCGCGTTCCCGGTTCCGCAAATCGTGAAATTTCGTGACGAACACCAGCGATCCATGACGCACTTGGCCATCGTGGCAGATGACCTGGAATTGTTGGAGTTTGTGCTTGAAAGCGGGGCATCTTTGAATGACCCCGACGATAGCGGAGCCTCGCCGTTGACTACGGCTTTGCTCGAACGACACTTTGAAGCTGCGGATATGCTGGTCGCGTACGGGTGCGACATCGACTTCGTGAACGCAGCACTGCAGACGTCGATGCATGTGCTTGCCACGTTCGGTGATTTGAAGGCCGCGCAGTGGCTGCTCGAGAGAGGAGCGGACGTGGAGGCTCGGGACGCCGGTGATAACTTACCGCTGCATCTAGCAGCTGCCTACTGTTCGCTACCTGTTGTCGAGCTCTTGCTGGGTGCAGGAGGAGATGTGAACGCTCAAAACGCGTCGGGGGCTACGCCTCTGCATTTCGCAGCGCCGAATGGCAACTATGCAGTGGTGGAGGCACTGATCAAATATGGAGGAGATGTGGAAGCGAAGGATGAACATGGCAACACGCCGCTGACCAACGCGGCGTTTGTGAGTCAAAGCACAGCGCCGCATTTCGCTTCGGGTGACCAGACGACGCAGTATGCAGTGACGAAATTGTTGTTGCAGCACGGTGCTGACGTGAATGCTGTGAATGATGATGGAGATACGGCTTTGTTCGGTGCAGTTCACAACGAGTACGACGCGGTGGTAAAGTTGCTACTTGCACACGGAGCTGATGCTCGAGTGCGTAACCGTAAAAAAGAGACATTACTTCATGTGCTGGCTCGTGGATACGCGTCTAGCGTAGCTATTTGGCGCGAGCTACTACAACATGAGGTCGACGTTTTTGCCCAAGATCGACAAAGCCTCACATGTGCCACGGTGTGGGAGTCGCGACACCAAGATTTCTGTGCACGAGACACCGTCCCTAGCGATGACAACCCACAGCAACGTGATGCTGCATGGATCGAACATTTGCTATCAAGCGAGTCTACCGTTGGACCAGCTCATTAGAACTCACATCGAGTTTGTTGCTAGCACAAAGTGTACAATAGAACTGTTTGACAAGCAATCTCCAATAATTTAAACTACTTCGTGTTCAATGAGAGAGGAATCAAGAAAATGTTGAGCCATTCTGGATAGTAGACCCCCCCCAGTGAGTGCTACTCCGTCTTCATGTAGACCCCCGAGGCAATATGAGTGTTGACAACTGCGACGAGCACCATAAATATTGCGAGAAAAGCGTCATCCTTATGAAACCTGTCGAAGTCCACACCGAATCGGATCTCCAACGGGATCGCGATGATGTCCACAACAACCTCAATGCCTATTTGCACCATGACAGTGGAGAGTTATATCTCGTGAGTAGAACTGCTGGAAGCATTCCCGCCGAACGAAAATCTCGGATTCGAGCCGAAGCAAATGATAATTACATAGGCACAACACATTGCAATGTACTCGCCATGCATGCCAGCGTATACCTCTGCAGCGTGCAAGGCCGTTAACTTTTGAACACGAGCGACCCCCTCAAGCTCCGGCGACAACAAAGACGCAGTTGTTGACAGCAACGATTGGCCTCGGAGTATTTTCACGACCCCATCTTGAGGATGTACACCAACTCGAGGAAGCGGATACTTGGCCAAAGCTTTGTGCGCCTGATGTATCATCAATAGTGCAGTCAGGAGTCTCAACCCCGTTTTGGCCACTGCAAGTAGAACAGATCCCGCCAATGTCATGGCCTTACTGTCTAGACACAGCAACACCGTGCGTAGCTGTGTGTCAACCAGAATCGTTGGAGCTGCCACGATGATGGCCATTGTACGTAATGAAGGGGTCCTTTTTCGCCTCCCCAGATACAACTTGGCAGCTGCTTGAATCAGCAGCTTGATCGTCTGACTGCACAGGGCAAAGAGCACCAGTTCCCACTGCTCTTGCATTTCGATGGAGCTGGCAATGTGCACGAACGCTCCAGCAGACAGACCAGAGAGCACAAGTACGAGGTTTTGAGCGAACACCTTGCGGAACTGCTTCAATGAAGGAGATCGATGAGGTTTTATAGTCGAAAGCGGACTCGGTTGTTTGCTTCGACGACTGTACCGCAGTGCTCTGGCCTGGCCGCTGACAGTCTCCATCCGAAACATATGGCGCGTGTGTGTGTCGGTGACGGTCAAGATGAAGTTGTAGCACATCATTGGCCAGTACACGTCGGCTGAGCTAGTCTAGCTCAGCTAGATGGTAAGAAGCGATGATATAACCAATTCCGACACTCATTCCGACAACCAGAACAATATGCACAAACATCGCTCGCACCAATTTCACGAAAATCCGAGTTGCCGAGAGCGTGGAGGGCGTGGGAGTAGAGGTGAATGTTTCAGGGAGCAGCTTAGCTACGCATTCGGCAATCGTGAAGAACCAACAGAACATCCAGAACCACAGCATCTTGGCCGTCAGAAACACGGCGTGGGGTTGATAAATTGGCGCAATACTCGAAAAAATGTTGCCGTGCTCCATACAAAATGCCAGGAGCCACGCGATAGCTGCACTCAGCATTGAGTTGCTTAATACCGTGCCCAAAGTTCGAACAGTTTGCCATGCGATAGTCAGAGGGTCAGAGCTTAATCGGAAGCTGCTGCTGCGTTCATGTTGCTGCGACGATGACGTTCGGTCGAAAGGCTGCACACGGTTATGCCGAAAATTGACCACCAACTGGGCCCACGTTGCGCCTGAATCGGTCGGCATCCAGGTGTGTCAGATTTACTATCGACTGAAGAGCGGTAGATGTTGAGCTATTCTCGAAATACCACGCCTTCAGTTTTGCTTCGCCGGTATGGGGGGGGGTATCTTGTTGACACAATTTTTGCGATCACTTCAATACCGACGGGAGAGATGCAGTCATGGTATAAACAAGAAGCTAAAAAAACGTGATGGAAAGAATTCGGTGTAAGAATAAGATGCAGAAGCAAACATCGCCCGTTCCTGAGCGAGCAGCTTTGAGCATTGCGAGCAGGACACTCTATCCAAGATATCTGGCCTTACATGTACTCATCAATATGCACTTTCGTTTGAAACTACATGTACGCTGCTGTTCGTGAAGTCAACACGGCTTCAACATGGCTACATCGGAAGATACCTGAACAAAAAATGCACTACTGTAGAGTTATTATTTATGTCAGTTCATCACAGATCAGATATAGAGAGGTCAGCTCATGTTCTCATCAACTACCACGGGGATTCTCTCGTTTGAACAGCTTTGCTGACACTCACGTCTTCACACTCGAACTGGAGCAGACGCAGGTGCGTGCTACTGCTACTCCCCGACCACGAGCATTAGCAGCGTCAGTAGCGACTTGTCCCCCACTTCCGCTAGCCGACAGAGACGAGCAAGAATGGCCAACCGCAACGCACAAGAACTGGCGGAGAACGTTTTATCGCTCTACGACGTGAGCTCCAACCGCGACGCCACTATAGCCAAGTATTATCTGCCGGACGCCGTTTTCACGGACCCTATCGTGTCTGTGCGGGGCGTGGACAACATCCAGGCGCAGTTCCGCGTCCTGTCCAAGTTCATCAAGTCCAGCAAGGCCACGCTCGTGCGCGGCTCCATGGCCGGCGCCACTGTTCTCACTATCGACAGCTCCATGGTCTACCGTCTCAAGCCCTTCCCGAGCTTTATGAAGATCGTGCTGCGTGTCTTCTCCGTGCTGGAGCTCAAAAATGGCCGCATCGCGTCGCACACGGACCACTACGACTTCTACTCGGTGCTGGCCAACGTCCCGTTCGTTGCCTTCTTCTACGCACAGTTCCGCCCCATGTTCGGCGCCGCTAGCTCGGCCGTGATCAAGCGCCTCGTGCCGCCGCAGACCAAGCCGGCCATTTCGGCCAACAAGACTGCAGCATCTGCCGCCAACGGAAACGGCGTGGCGACGGCAGTGGCCACGTAAAGGCGGACGGTCATCAGAGGACAGTCGGACGACGGACTCTCCGGTCCCTTTTTGGCTGAAAAGTTTGGCTGCGATGGAGCGACGGACGTCGTAGTCGAGTGATATATTGTTTAACAGCGTGGCCTAAGAAGAAGAAGAAGAGAGTGAAGCAGACACAGCTGCGCTATAAATCTCAAGTGATTTTCATTTTGAAAGCCAAGAGTGTTTGATACGTGATCTGACATCCACTTTGTGGATGATGCGGTGCAACTAGCACGTCCTTCAATCGTACGTGCATCTTGTTATTAGGCGTTTTACTACTTCGTTTACTTCTGTGGCAGTCCGAGGCCGGCGAACGGGTCTCTACCGTTGGAGCGTGCGCCTGGGTTGCCGCCTGCTGCGACGCCGTTGGCAGAGAAGTGCGTGCTAATATTCATGCCGGCGTGGCCGCCCATCATCGACTGCTGATGTTGCTGGAAGTGCTGTTGCTGATGGAAACCTCCATGCTGTTGCTGCATGCCCATCCCCAAGTGCATCTGCTGGCCTTGGCCCTGCATTCCCATCCCAGCAGGACCACGACCCTGACCGTAGCCACTGCTGTTATTATTGCGCTGAGGCATTCCGTATGCTAGCGGAGGTGCCGACAAGCCGTCGAACGCGCTAAAGTCCTTGGGCGCGGGCGCTGCATTGAACTGGTTCATGATATTTGCCGACGGATTCTGGCTCTGGCTCGTAGGTGCAGGTGCAAAGGGGTCAAACGGAGCTGACGGCGCGTTCGGAGTCAGCACGTTTCCTCCCGAAGAAGCGAAAGGGTCGAACGAGTTCGAGTGCGACGTTGGTGCAGGCGGGGTAGACGCAAACGCTCCGAATCCGTCATTACTTACTGACACAGGCGCTGGAGCTGCACTAAAGTCTGCAAAGCCATCGTTAGCAGGCTTCGTCGGTGCTGGAGCGGAGGCAAAGGCACCAAATCCATCCGAGCTCGCAGGAGCCGGCGCCGCCGCAAAGTCGCCCCATCCGTCATTACCAGAGCTGCTGCTGCTCGTTCCAAAGGCGTCAAAACCTCCGCTTGTTGCTTTGTTCTGAGCCGGGGTGTCAAAGTCTAGCAGATTGCAGACGGGAGCTGCTGCCATTACCCTAGACGAGGAGCTGTTTGTGGCCGCTGGGCTGCTGGCCGCCGCTCCGCTGAAGCCGTCCTCATCATAGAAGGCCTTGTCGTTGTAGACGCGGTTGACGAACTGCTTGTAGTAGTCAAGCGGGTCGTCCTTAGTGGGCTTGCGCATCTGGCTCTCGTCCCAGCATCCGAGCCAGACGCGCGCCGCCACAGCGTTACCACCGCCGTTCTGCTCTCGCAACGCGTCCACCTCGTCCATAGTCCAGTTGCTCATACTGACGCTTTTGACGCGCATGCTATAACTCTGGTGCGCGCTCTTGCAGTTGGAGCACACGAAGGTGCGCACTTTTTCGCAGATATTCTGGTGCCCGAAGCGGTTGTAGTTGCCACAGTTGACGCACGTCTTGTTGGCCTCCAGCTTCTTGAGCGTGTTTAGTGCGGCCTCTGCTTCCACTGCCATATTTGCTTACTCTTGCTGCTCGGGGTGAAGGTGGCGCAATGGCACAATGGGTAGCTACAAAGGACGCGTCCTCCAGGTGCTCCCTCTTATCTGACCCTAAAGATGGTGTTGTGGCGTTGTAATGAAACTACCGCAGAACAGTGACGTGGGCACTCTCCAGTCGTGCAGCAAGAGTGATGGTAAACTTCAACATGACCCTGGTCCATCCGACGGAGCATTTTCTTCTACATGTACTATTAACAGGACGTATCAGTAGCTGGCAAAGATGCCATAATAATAGTGTCTGCACGAAACTCTGTCGGTATCGTCACCATCGCGATGGTCGTTGAATCGCTGTCATGACTCATGGAGCACTGGAGTAAATGGCAGAGCTAGTATCACATACTTTGAAGTACATCGTCACTCTTACGCTGCTACATATATGTACTTTTACCGTCATTTGAGACGATTCATATCCTCAAAACTTGTTGCAGCGCAGTAGATTCTCAATATCTCAGAGGCCTACATGTACCCAATGCTAAATCAATTTTAGTCCGGCGCAGACTAATTTTGGTCCATCATATTTTCCCCGCCTTTCTATTCCAGCTGCAACTTTTTTGACAAGCACCTGAAATGGCGGCGTGTCCGCCGTGCTGCTTCCGTCTAGAGGCTACGCGCGGGCCCCACAACGGGCTCTTGCTTTGCCACTGTCGTGCAGACTCCACCGGTCACTCTCCTCCTCCGCATACTCTCTCCATCGGCCGCAAGAAACGCTGCTGGCTACGCCTGCCGCAGGATTTAGAAGTGTCGAGCGTCCACGCCGAGTTTTGCTTTATAGAGAGCGATATGGGCGTTGCCCTTCGAGATGTCAAGAGCACAAACGGCACCAAACTCAACGGCAAGCCACTGCAGGCCCTGCAGGACTATCCACTCAGCAACGGAGACCTCATCGCAGTCGGTAGAACCAGTTTGCGCTTCGTTCAGGTGGTGCACGGACAACCGTGTGGCGAGGAGGCAGATAAATGTTCTGCTGGTGCTTCTTCTACGCTAACACCGAGTGTTTCGTCTACAGTCGTTCTACCTGTGGCAGCTCCGGAGGTGATCGAGCTGGATGAAGACTCAGCCGATGATAAAGCGGCCTCTAAAGCCCCTGGATCACATGGAACGCCAGTAGATCAACCTGATACCGAACCAGCTCATGACGAGCTGATGCCAAAGTCGTTGAAAGTCATCAATAGTAGCAGACAGAGAAAGGAGGGCGTCGAGTTGCAGAGATCAACGTCTGGAGGCGGGACTAGAGTCGGAGCAGTGGGTGAATACACACCCGAAGAGGCGACGTGTACAGTGTGCAGAGTGGTGATCGGACAGCTGGATCTCCTGGAGCAGCAGTCGCACTTAAACGAGTGTCTCGGTGGTCGTGTTGCAGCTGCCTCTGCAACGTCTGCGACGACAAGTGCAAAAGATGCAGAACCTCCAAAGACGCGAAAGCGGGGAAATGCAGGAGCTGCAGCCACTCGAGCAAAGAAACCGATAAAGCCGAAGACAGGAGAGGACGGCGACGCTTCTGCCACAGCCAAGACAAAGAAACCGAGGAAGCGAAAGCGATCTGCCGTCGGGGAGGATATCGAGCTAGCACTGGCGCTGACAGCCAAGCCGAAGATGAGCAAGGAGGAGCAGACAGATGTGCAACTCACGGTGACGAAGAAGAAACTAGAGCAACTGGACGACCAAATTGCAAAATTGACTAAAAGACGCGTGAATCTTGTGAAAACACTTGACAGATTAGAGAGAACGAAGGAGAAATTGAGGAAATCCCAAGTGTTGCCGCCAGCAAAAGTGCTCCAGCTTCTCGACCTGAAATCTGCGCTGGATTTTATATTTCCAAGCAGCCGCCAGGCCAACGGAGACAGTCGAAGTGTAAGGATAGGACAGCCAGGAAACAGCTCAACAGTGGTGAAACAGTATACCCCCGTGAGGTGGCGTGGCAATGGAATTACCATAGACTGCGACGAAGAGAAGCGGGCTGAGCTAACGGCCGTGGCTGCTATTTCCATGTGGGCACGGGCTTCCCAGCAGCTCTTTGGGCTGCAACGCGATACGCTGCTGTACCGCAATAGTATATTACGGACATTTCTTGGCGACGATGACGAAGCTGACGGTAGTATTGTGGATCTAGACAATGAGTTAGAGGACGAAGACGGTGACGCAGATGTCGAGCAAGAGGACGAGCCAGAAGAGAAATCGGTCAGCTCTTCTGATCTCCCCGAAGTTCCGGACGTTGTGAAGCGCGTGTTCCCAAACTGGGAGCGTGATTTAGCTTTTCTACAAAATCAGACAGCGGAGGAGCTTGAAAGGGCCTTTGAGGCTATGAACAAGGCCCAACTAGAGGTTGATACAGTAGCAAATGACGACGCAGAGTCGGAACAAAGAGAAGAATCCCATGCAGCGGTTAGCGCTGAAGAAGCCACTGCTACAAGCTCCAAAGTTGCCACCACGAGTGTTCACTCGCCTCAAGCAGAGCAGCGACGTGCCTGTGAGTACATGGCGCACGTGATGGTCCAATTGATTGCCAAGAAGAGGTAGCGAGCTGAAGTTGATGGAACAGCGGAGGGATTTCACGATCAGCGAAGACAGGAGCGACAGCAGTCGGTCATCGACCTCGTAGAATCCAGTGGTGAAGAGGTCAGGCAGCAGCAACATGCCTCCGATATTGTTCTTGCGAGTGATAAGGAGGCTGAAGAGGATTCTTTCGAGGAGCTACCGACCGAAATGTCTATAAAGTGACTTATATGCACTTACATTTGGCAGGTCTCGCGCATTACATGTAACACGTAGCAAAGCCAACTGTGGTCCATGTTAACGAATGAAATGGTTCGTGCAACTTTACCACTTCAACAAGAGCTAAGCAACTTTATGAACTTTAGCTTCAAGCCTTCCTAAAAGCAAAGCCAAAAATGGCCCAAACGACATTTCATTGATGCTAGCTTTAAGTTGCGCACGATTCACTGTGATTCGCGGTTAGCCGTCCAAGTTCTTGAGTTCCTTCAGCATCGATTCATACGTCGCAATCTAATTGGCGCATGCCGCGGATTTCTCCAACAGCATCACCACATTGGCGTAACTCAAGGCCGTGTCCGTCACGGTGTCCAGAGCTGGCTTCCGTTCAGGGAACCAAAGAAAATCTGGGTGCTCGTCGTTCGACTTGTTCAACCACTCACCGCCTATGATCTGATCGACGTCGTCCATTTCCAAAAGATACTCGTAATCCGCTCCGGTGCCGGTCTGCTCGTCAACCTCAGAGCGACGACCAGCAAACGTCGCATTGCTCCACGACAGACTCGATTTGACATGCACAATACTCTTGGCGGCCTCGTTCCACGGATAAGTCTGGAGACGATAGAAAGTCTGAGCGGCTTCTTACGGAGTCATAACCTTCTGTTCATGCACTGTGAAGCCATCGACGGGCTGGTTCCACACCTCGTAGCTAGCGTATCTGTCGACGATGAAGGTGGCTTTGTGCTTGCCAAGAATGTTGGTAGCAGCGATGTGGAAAAATCCGGGGTTCAGGTCACGGTACGCAGGATCCTCATTCCTACCATGGTTGTCGACCGAGAAGTTCCCGCCACTGTAACGGACACCTGTAAATACGGTGGGAATGCTTGCGGTGTCGTAAATTCTCATCAGCAGCGCTTTAATGTCCAAGGGCTCGAACGTCACGCCACTGAACGTCACGGGACATTTGGGCTCCTTCTCCAGAAGTGAAGCTGGCGCCCACGCGTGGCTCAAGCCGTACGCTGCATCGATGTAGCCTGAACTCGCCTCCGCACGAATACCGCAATGCTCCCATGGAGTATCGCAGTCGCTGTCCGATGTGCACACGATGCTGTAGTTCATGGAGTCAACGCCACTGCTGATGGAGACGCTGTCCATTAGAGTCTTCCCATCGAGACCGAAGGCCGTAGCGTACTTCTCGGTTGCACTCGGCTGGCCCTCGCTCCACTGATAGTTAATATTATCATTGTAAGTGTGCCATAACAGGCTGTTCCACGGCGACGGGCTGTACGTAGCTGAGGAGGGCAGATTGCTTAGCTTCATCTCCGTCTTGGAGCCAAAGAAATCTTCTAGCTTCTTGATATCGCCACCCAATGCGGTCTCTAGCTTGCGGCTCTTTACCTTCGTCGAGCGCCCATTTTTAATGACAACGCAGTTGTCGTTATCTTCAATCTCGGTACCACGGCCAGGAAAGTTCTTATCACCGAGATCGTAAGAGGAGCAAATAGTTACAGGGTCATCTTGTAGCGAAGATCCCATGACCGGTTTGAGCTGCAAAATCACCAGGGCGATCGCAGCAGAAGCGAGACGTGCACGGGTCATAGTTGGAGTCCAGTCCTGGGCGCTAGTAGCTCTTCTCGTTGTCGAGGAAATCGGAAAATGAACGCGTCTGATGTATATTGTAAATACAGCTGACTCAACTGTTGTATGTAGCGTCACTTTCACAGCTCACAGTGAGCAAAACACACAGCAATACAATGTACTGTACCGGTATTACAATAATACAGTACTGCCAAGACTATTATAACCAGGCAGACATGTAAATATAAGCCTACATTTAATGTGCTAGTACATGTATTAATAAATGTTGGATAAATATACACTGGAAGAAGCAACAGCTATGCGGAGAGCCGCGTGCGAGTATAGCGAATAACGGTCCAAGGCGACAGCATGGTATAGTTGAGATGGGCACACACCTCCGAGCTTCTCTCTTTGTTCTTGGAAACCTCGATATTAATAGGACCTGTCGTTTTTGAGCTTTTAAAAAAATGGTATAATTGTGGTTATACTTGTCGTTAAAGAATTAACAAACCCGCAATAACTTCTGATATACACCTCCGAATGGAAGTGGCGAACTCTAAGCTTGCCTAGTTGAATACAAATACAGCACGTGATCAAAGATTCCAAACACTTCTTGTAAAGAAAGACATGGTGCTCTACAAGCACTAATAGATATATATCGATTCAAGCCGTCGACGGCAAACTTGGTTACGAATGAAAATTAGTTTTTATTGGTTATAAGGTTTCGTGCCAGCTAAGAGGTTCTGCTAGCCCGTATACGCTTTTATAATTGAATTACCGATAACCTCTTCAAAAACGCTAGTTATTTCGCGAGACATTCGATAACTTAAAGTAAGGTTATTGTGAGTTCTACTCGAAATTAGATTGGGCAATTGAATGAATCGCCCCGCCAAATTGCCCCGCCAATCGCTCATCCCATCTAAAAGCATACGAAATGCAAGTGCAGAGGCAGCACTTCCGCGTGCGGAGCCACTTCAACCCGCGTGCGGAACCACTTCAACCTTAAAGACGACCTGCGGGGAAACATGCCGCCTAGCAACGGATCGGCTCGACGCAATCGAGCCTCACGTCGTGAAGTACATGCGACTCCCAACCGCAAAAAGCGACGCACATCGACGGAATTAGCACAAGGCAGCACATCACCTGATAGTCTCAGTTCTCGACGAACGTCACGTGAATCACCCCGCTCCGACGACAGCTCGCTGCCTTCTCCGGTCAGAGAAGAAGAGAACTACAACAGACCAGCAGCTCCAGCTAGCGAAGACAACCGCGGACTGCTGCCAGCTTCGATCAGGGATGAAGATGACTCCAACTTGCCGGCAGCTTCGGCGATAGAAGAAGTCCACAACGCACCAGCAGCTTTAGCCCAAGCAGAAGTCAATCGCAACTCGCCGCCAACATCACCGAGTGGGCTTTCATCGCCAGTCCAGGCGAGCCCTCTTCCGGCTTCGCGAACCAGTATCGGGCACGCAGCGTCATCGCCAGCTTCAAATCTAACAGAAGATGTGGAGGATATCCAGTCTGCTAAGCGATTTCGGCTACTTGTACGGCCTATTATCAAGAAGACGGTCAGCCAGCGAGATAAGTCTGGCAAAAGACTTGGCGACTTCGTCGCAAATGGTGACACCTTTGATGAGATCATTGAGAAGCTGTGGAGTGAGATTAGCGAGCACGTGAAAGGACTAGCGGTCAATGATGATGGGCATTGGTCCGTCGAGTCCCCCGCGCAAGCCGACTGGGAACTTCTGATGCAATTTAAGCGGGGAAAGCACCTAGTTGACAACACTAAGAACGAGCTCGATTAGAATGACTGGCTAAGAAAATCACGGAAGAAGATCACCATCTTACAGATTTTTGAGTACGGACCAGCACTATCGACAGCCAAAGATCGAGATGCCTTCTTAGCTGCGTGCATCCTGCCTGAACAGACTGATCGCGCCGGTGCTACTGCTGAAGGCTCGCTTCGTGACGTTGCTGCTCAATTGGAAGAGCACTGGCGCTTTATGCTTTCTACAACGACAATTGGATGGCGCTTGTGGGCAAACTACATCACTCGAAACCTGAACCGTTCCACGTGGCAGGAACAAATTGCAGACCCTCCACCGGCCACCTCATCCATCTCCTCCATGCTCCAAGAACACAAGTTCAGGATCGAGCTCAAGGTCTTACGAAGTCTGGCGAAATGGCGCTAGATTGTGTGCAAGGAAGTTTAGCTGACATTGAAGAGCTCCATCAAGATGTCAACGGGATTCTACTGCGATTGGAGGCTCAGAAGAAATCTTTGATTTCGAAAAGGAATATTATCCAATCTTTCCTGGCTGACGTCGACCTCCTGGCTGTGTCCGATGTGATCGATCCATTCTCACGGATGGAAAACCTGGACGACACCTAGCACCAAGAGTAGGCAGGCGTTTTAATCACCCCCACATTCCTCATCAACTAAATCAAATCCCAGTTCAACTTCTGTGTTGTTTGGCTCCGCACACTCCCCCCAAAACTGAGGCGTTTGTCTCTTCTCCGTCGACATTGGACTACTGGGATAAAAGCGGCCTTGCACGTTCCACCCGCAATGCGCAAACACTCTAGCCATGTTGAAATGTTTAAATCGCTGAAATGTCTGCACTGCAAACGGCAATAAATCGCGGTCGCTGTTTTCATTGTAGTGCCGCTGGAAAAACTTCTTCACGTAGCCAATCGATAGGGTTGAAGAACAGGCAGTATGCTGGCAGAAATATTGGCACGATACCAATGCTCCTCAAAACGTGCACGATCTCCGGGTGTCTGTGTATGGAAGCACCATCAAGAATCCACACGGAGTGAGATCCTGAATATTGACGAGTTAAATTGTGTTTCGTATACGCAAAGTCCTGGCAGCACTTGGAAACTCAACGCAATCAAACGTGCCTTGAGTGTCAAAGCAATCAATTAGACCATTAACTCCGATGAAAGCCAACACAGAATCCCGTGTGTTTCGTTGAAAGTCGCCTTGAATTACCAAATTTTGTCCCTTCAGCGAGTAGCCACGCTTCCTGATCATCCCTCGATTATCAAATGACACTTCATCGAGGAAGACAAGGTTGTGATGGCTCCAGTCAACATGATGCTGTTCCTCAATGAATCGGAGCACATCTTGGTCTTTAATATGCATCGCACGTCGCTCCAATACTTTCCACGTCAGTCCACAGCTGTGGATAATACGCCATACGGAGGACTTCGAGATGGTGATACGGTGTGCGCACTGGAAGGCTTCTTGTGCCTCGTATAGGTAGGCTAGTGGGTGTGTCGAGTAGAACTCACACAGCCATTTGCGGTGCTCATCTGTGAACATTTTGGCTCCGTTCGTCTGCGCTCTCTCAAACGTTCCGGTGGCCTCATACGTTCGGATCCAGTTGCCGATTGGCGTCTCACTTTCGTGAATACGAAAGCGAGCTGCTTCCGAGACAACCCATGTTCGTAGAAGGCGTACAAACAATGGAGCACTGTGTTGGGGTGTGCGTGCCCCTGCGTCACTGCTCTCTCCATGAAGCCTACGCTACAGAGACCGTAGTTAGTAAAGACAGCCACTTACAGACACAACAAGATCAATCACCTCTTCTTGTAGCGCAAGCTGTAGTCTAAGTTATCGTACAGCGCTCTCGCGCCATGCCCTCGCACCGCGCGCCGGTCGTCTCCTTCGACTTCAGCAATTTGAATTATGGACAATATAATGGGTTTGATTAAGATTTTAGCCAATCAAGGACATTGGGTCGATTTAGAGGCCAATTGCAAAACCGCCCAGCGCATCCAAATTTAGCCGGGAGTGACAATATCATAATTGGCCAGAAGCCTCAAATTTAAAGTACCACTCCACATTATTCATGTATACCCTGGCGCAATTTTAGGGCAATTTTAGGAAGAACTATTATAATGGAATAATTAAATCGTAAATTATTTGGTAGAACCTGTTAGTTCAAATAGCACTCGTATACATGTAGCTGTGTTCTGTGCTTCAGATTGGGCTAGGACTTTCTGCGTGCCTTATTTTGTGTTTGATAATCTGTGCTGTGGTTGTCCAAGTAAATTCTGCCTTCTTTGGCAGCTATTGACTGCGCCATTTTCAATTCCCCGCCAGAAGCACACTACAATGTCGAGCCGCCGTGTGTGATATCTGCTGATGTGGGGGGAACGGCATCATGGGCGGACCTCGCCAACCTAAGTGTTATCGCTCATGTGCCGCGCGGACCCTGTCGCTGCCGAGTGGACTGCACAGGTGCGAGCGGCTCTCCCCAGCCTCCCAGGCTGGAATCCAAGAAACCAGTTTTGCAGGGCAAAACTGCTTTTCTTTTCACTAGCACAATTATTCTATCGCTAGAACACCTCTGGCTGATGATCTGGAAAACTGCATCCTGGAGCACGAACGAGCAAAACATACGCAGGAGCGCCGTAACTCAAATTGCTTAACATTATTCGGCACAGACCATGTGAACAAGGGCCTAAGGCCCTTGTTATGTTGCGGGGTACGTAGCCTTAAGTGTACCCTGGTTACATGAAGTGTGACACTTCACACTTCAGGAGTATGACACGTCATACTTCGGGATATTTGGTACAAAGTACGGAGGTCGTTCAAAGCCAACCATTGGTCAACGAGATTGTATTTCTATCTTAGCACGGCCGCTAAGGTTGGAGAGTGCAAAAGCAACACGCAGTTGCTCGGTCGAGATCAGAGCCGCGTCCATCGCGAGCTCTACTTCTCGGACCCAGAAGTGAAGGTTCTCCCCTTCCTTCCTATCATACGGCTTAATCTTCAGCCGTATTGGCTTCGGGTAAGGCGGATTTGCTTCCGCCGCCGGAGCCTGCAGGTTCTCCCGCACATGCGCTATGAGGCCCTGCTCGTACGCGTCGAACGCATTGACGCGCTCGAGCTGCTCAGCCGGTGTTGACACCACCAGGCTCTGCAGGGCCTCCATCCCGAAGATGCCTGCCATCTTCCGAACCGACTCGAGCTGAGAGTCGTTCATATGGGAGAAGTCGTTCCTATCCAT